AAAATTTAGGCTAATCTATTTTTAGCGAAAAGCGGATAAAATGTAAGCTCTCGCATTTTAGCATATTTTAGCTATAACGAAAGTTAGATTCCGGCTGCTGGTCGACACAGTTGGCTTTTTGATTTCGAAATGCACNTAGGCTAATCTATTTTTAGCGAAAAGCGGATAAAATGTAAGCTCTCGCATTTTAGCATATTTTAGCTATAACGAAAGTTAGATTCCGGCTGCTGGTCGACACAGTTGGCTTTTTGATTTCGAAATGCATTCATCAGAAAGAAACGCAATGTTTTCAGATCTAAATATTTCAGCATCCTTTCCAAATTGTTTTCCACAATCTTCGTCTTTCTTTGATAAATAATTGCAAAAAAGAAGCGTTTTTTCTTCTAAGAGTTTCATGGAAATTTTGCACTGAATATATTTTTTATATCTTTAATTGGACATGCACACTGTACATAAAGGAACTACATAACAAAATTAAAAAATATATGCCTTTTTTTGCCTTTTTTAAGTTTTTAGTGCCTTAAAATCCTACATTTCTACATTTCGGGGGGGTCGAACTTTCTAATACAATTTTATCTCTTAATATTTTGCAGTTTTTTAGCTCATTAAATTTTAGTCTAATAAAGTGCAAATTTAAAGTAGCTGTGACTTACAGTTGATGTATGGCATATTTTTGACGATGTCGGTAATTTTCTTCCATATTATCTAAGTATGTTCGACGATTTTTTTATGAAGAAAATGAGCAACACCTTCATCAAAAAAAAATATATATATATTAAAAATCAACGATAAGTCGCAGCTATGTATTTTAAACTTGCGCTTTATTTGAATTGATCGGGCTACAAAACTGCATACTCAAAATATGTATTTATAGGAAATCTAATTAAAAAACTTTACGAAAGTTTGTTTAATTTGTTATTGGGCAATTCACAAGGTGTCGTATTTGTCGTGTTTGTCGTGAAGTCATGATATTTCATGACAGTTGTAAAAATGTTGTTATTGTTTTGTGAAGAAAAATAACACATGACGATACAACTCTGCAACCTATGTTTATTCGGTGTTATGTGAGGTTAAGTGCTGAGATATAATAAATAATCGTAACAGGTGTTCACAACCGTCGTGTTTTAACACAACTTTTGTTAGGAAAATATAACTTCACAGCACCTTGTGAATTGCCCAAATGTGCCGAATTCCCATGGTGCCCAACAAATAGAGATACATATGTACTCTTGTGCATGCCACTTCAGCGTTGGAAAAATGGAATTCGGCTAGACAGAGGCAGGATTCCCATAGAAAACAGGGCTAAATTACTTTACCATATCAATTCTAATTTGAACATTGTTATGTACATATGTATGCATGTAAGTCTAAAAGCCTGATTAGGGCAACTTAATTCAACATTACGGAACATAGAACTTCGATAATCAAAATGAACCAGATTCCGACGTGGCATTAAGTTAGGTTAAGTTTCGGCTGTTCGGGTCGAAACCTTCCCTCCCCAACCCCCCTCCCCCCCCTTCCCCCCCACTTTTAAAAAATAAAAATAAAAATTTGCACCAGCTGCGACTAGTACCCGTTAGAGATGAGTCGGGGACTAACTGATCTCCGATTATACCTTTACGAAAACTGGCAGAAAATTGGTAAAAGGGTGATATTTAGAGACTTTGTTCCGCATCTTTTTTAATCAAAGAATCTGCTAGAAACGGGCGGGCAATTTTAAAACTAAAGTTAAAAAATTTACATTTTATTGTGGATTTCGGCATGCAGTCTGCGTTTTGTTAACCTTTGCCCTAAAATTGTCAAGCCTAATTTTGAGGGTTTATCAGAATCACGAAAAAATCCAAACTTTGACAGAGCATACCTCTGAAGAAATAAAAGAAAGAAAAATCCTTGAATACGTGTTAGCTTATTTAATGTATGTAACCCATAAAAAGATTTGAAGCCAATCGAAAGTGTGACAATAAATTTCGTGGCCGATATGAAAAAGAATGCCTCATATACAAGAATTGCTCCTTTAAAGTAATAAGAATAAGGGGCAACACCCCTCCCCCCACTGGGCGAAAGTGGTTCATTCGTTTAACCAAATTTGCTGCGGAAAAAATTGTGATGAGATGGAGCAAAATGCATATGGTTTAATTGGGGCCCTAAAGAACTGTCCCAAAGTGTAATATGTATATTAAAACCAGTCATCGATTGAATAAAACAAAAGTCAAAATTTCTAGCTAACCTTATTCTTTCCCGAAGAAACATATAACATTAACTATAAATCTATAAATATACTAATAATAATTGAAAAATAATCTACAAAATATAAAGCAGTTTAATAATAACGAGATGTGAGAGTTAAAACTGTGCACAAATAATTTTATGATAATTCATTAGCCATATATGTACATATATTAAGCCAACATACATACATACGCACAATGCAACGCAAATCAGCTGTGCGACGTGGAAGTTCTCCCATTCCACAGCAAACAGGCATCTCACTAAGTCCCTCAAGAAAGTCACCAAATCATCAATTGCGATATGAAAGCTCACAAAACGACGATAGTGATGCCTGTGACAATGCGGACATACCACGACGTGAGTCGCTGCACAAACCTACATGGCAGCATATCGTCCCTGGGCAACCGCTTCCGAATTCAAACGACTCAATCAACTCAAATGCCAGAAGCAAAAGCTTAAGCATCGCTTCAGACTCGGACGAAGATGAGTGTCTGCGACGACCAAGTGTCGTTGTGCACCATCACTATTATCAGGAGAAGGAAGTTCAGCAGCAGCTACAGCTGCCAACTAAGCCGCTACAGCAACTGCGACGAGCCAGCATGCACAGTGGCGTTTGTTTTAAGTCCTCCAGCAGTGGTGGCAGCGCCAAAATCACTCGCCATCACACTATCGCATGTGCAGATTTAAAAACGAACGCTAATAATAGCATTCCCTTGCGACGCAAAGGCAGCCTGGCCCATCATACTCGGTCCTTTGGCACTGTAATGCAGAATGACTCGGCTGCGACTGGTGGCGTCAACGCAACAATAGCGGCATTTAATCCACCACCGACAACCATGGATGGTGCTACATTCTGTAGAAATGCTGGCCGCGCTTTAATGCGAATGGTTTCACTGGATACAACAAAGTCGAACGTCAAGATGGCGTCACATGCGAGCAGTGTCAAATCTTACACTGACTGTGCCGAGGAGTTTGATATGCTGGGAAAGGTGAGGTATAAAGGATTATAATATCGTTTTTTTTTTTCATTTAAATGTAGATAACTTATAAGACTCCCCTGCAAAAAATGTGTCTAATCCGGGATGACTCCGGGATCAATTGCAAGGGATCATACGACTAATATCACCTCGAACATGGACGAGCATGTCCTATGAACAGACTAATTATTTCGCTTTTTATCCGAAGGTGTATGAAAAGCGACTAGTCGTTTGGAAAATAAAAACAAAATTTGCGCCAGCTACGATTCCAACCAGGGATCATGGGTTTGTTAAGCGAATACCCAGTCAAAATGCCAACACCGTACATGATTTTTTTTCAACTAAGTGCGTTAGAGATGAGTTGGGGAATAATTGATCTCCCATTATGTATGTAATTAATACGCAATTGTAACCCAGGGAGACTAAGCCCGGGTCTTTTCTCAGGCTTCTTGATTTTTTTTTTCGAATTTCTCAAATTTCCGAAAATATTATGAGTCCATTTTGGAACCCACATTTACTTATATTTCCGAATTAAATAAAAACGGTGCTTAGGAAGTGAGAAGTTGATAATATTAAAACTTTCACTGTATTTACTAATTGGGAATCCATACGGCCTACTTATTGTCTTTTCAATACCGTCAATTGGCTAACGTAAAAAATTGCAAACTATTCATAGACTTTGCTCTTTACATACATATTTATGTGGGAGAAAATCATTGTAGCCTTTTTTCAAAATTATTTTTATACTAAAATGAATTTATGCATATGTATATACATACGTAATATACATAGGACTAAAATAATATGTAGGTAGATATAAACATTGCTTCACGCCTCCGATAAATGAAAAAAAAAATCGCCCAACACATCAATGTCAACCACAATTTGGCCTCCACAGAACCTTATTACACCAGACGCAAAACAGTCCTTTGAGCTGAGCAGACGCCCACTTGCGGATTTTCTTATACATACATGCATATGCTTAAATACATACGTACTCGTATGTTTACTCCCACATCTTTGCAGTTATATCGCTGCTTTGGTCACATAAACGATTGCAAATTAATATTTGGTTCAACATAAATATTTGACATTTTGAGCGCTAGTACTAATATTGCGGTTTTAATTTCGCTTTTCAAAATTTTCATCTATGTATATATTTACATTTGTACACTATACAAAGGACCATCGATACATATACATATACTAAGGATGTTAATTTTTTTTATCTTTACGATCCCGGGATTTTCGATATGTCGTTGGTTCAATCCCGGGATCCCGGAATCAGTCCCGGGATTTAGACATTTATTATGTATCAACAACATTGCATCAATATGGTTTGAGAATCTCTCCTACCATATAATAAATAATAAGTAAATGGGTTTGGAACGTACTTTTTTATTTAAAGTGAAAATTATTGCATAAGTAACTAAACGAAAGACAGTAATTAAATGTATATGCATTTAATATATATATATATTATATATATATATATTATATATATATATATTATATATACATATATATATTCCTTTTGTTTATTCAAAATTTACATTTTTTAAGTCTACCTCATATCACATCTAATTAACTGCATATAAATGGGCATTTCTTTGACGTCATGTTTTTGTTTTAAGACTTTATTATTTCAAAAGTATGATTAATTCCAAAACTTATTTAAAAATTTCAGTACAATGTAAAACAAAAATATGGGTACCAAATGAAAGAATTTTTGGGGTCCACAAGGACGAATAGGAATTGAAAATGTCCCTTTAATCTATTTTACTTTTTAAGCTAATAAAGTTATTCCCTAACATATAATTTTTTCAAAAATAAAAATTGCAAAATTCCAAGGATTTTCAAGGATAAAATTATGAAAGGGTATTTTCAATACCTACCCGTCCCTTACGCTCCAAAAAATGTAATCTGTTTTCGCTCTACAGAGCCTTCTCTTTCATATAATACCAATACTGGTTTTTGAAGTACATTGCACTGAAATTTACTAATTAAATTTTGAATTACTCATATCTTCCAAATTTCAAAGTTCTTTTAAAAAAACCTGACATTAGAGAGAAAAATTATGAACGCAATTTCACTATATTTGGCCCTTAGTTTGCCTGTCGCAAGGAGTTAGATGTATATTGAGCTACACATTTATAAAAAAAAAATATTAAATATTAAATAAACAAAAGAAATATAGCCAAAACTGGTCAATATAAGGCGGTGCTATTATTGCTACCAGTGTAAATTACAAATCCCGAAAATGCCGGGATTCTAGGCAAATAATTCCGGAATTTTCGGGACTTCAAAAAGACCGGGATCTCGGGATTAACATTCCTAGTGTGTACATATCCTCTGCATTAACGATGTCACTCAAAACTGCATGTATTAAACTTATTTTATTTATATTTATAGCCGATTGAGTTGATGAATATTGGTGACAGGTAACAAGATCAACGGAAATAAGGTCAACTGGCATTATTTCGCATATTGGTGCGAAAAAAAGTCAATTGATATTATTACCCTTCCAAATGCTTCGTTGGTGATTTCAATTTTCTTCTTTCTTTTCTTTCATTACCGCATTAATTTTTATTTACAAATGCAACATCGCTGATCATTTGACAGCTTCAATGAATTTAAGTAAAACTTTGAACCAAATACTGCAACTTTGGACTGAGAGAGAGCTTAAGTTATTCACATAAAATAACTCTCAGTTTTTGGTCACTCATTCACCAAAATAGGTTCATTGCATAAAACTTGATATTGGAGAGATTTTTGGCAAATTTCGTAATCGATTCTCATTTTTGGACTTATCATATGTTTTAAGCCTAATTAATGAAAGAATTGGTTGAAGGCAACGTTTTAATCCAGATATTAAAATAAAAATTTCACATCTAAATATAAAAAGAAGGTAAAACTGTTAAAAAGGATATTTCATTATAATAACGTATCAAAAATATTTCCTTTCAACCAACACCTTTATCTTTTACATTTTTATAACTGCGAAAAAAGTACACTTATTTTTTTTCATTTGGTATTTGTTCTCCTATTTTGGTTGGCTCGGTAATAGGTGATCATGTTGGGTGATTCAGGGGTTGGAAAAACATCCATTCTCATCAGATTTTATGACGGCAAATATATTCCAAACTACTACATAACTACAGTAGGCATTGATTTTCGGGTAAGCATTGGGTGTCGTCAAAAATCGGATGATCGATGTGAATTGGTCAAAATTGTTGCACGTGTTTCCTCCCTAACTACTTACAATGTGTAATAAATTGTCTACATCTGTCTTTTCCTGCAAATACATTGATTGGGTTATTATTATTGTAAAAAGGTGCTGTCCGTGAGTAATATAAGGCGTGTTTTTTTGCACGCATACGTATCCGCTCTGAAAATTTGTTTGGAGCTATAAGCGACAAACTTTGTGTGTGCTTATGAATAGTTGGCGATAAAATCAAAATTACTTGTTTTTAAATGAAATCGTTCTTGCTTGTGGTTTTTACACGTTAAGCAGAAATATATATATATATGTACATTAGACTATCCCAAGAATATTTGGAAAAAAATTTGTTTTGCAAATTTGTATATGCATACCCTCTATATTTAAGCTTTTTAGCCTAAATAGAATATATATGAAGTTTTATGGCCGTAGGATAACGATAACCCGTGCCGACTTTTAGTTGAAAGTTTTTGTTAAAAACTTGAATCAAGACCACCAAGTTGTCCATGAAAACTTTGGAAATGCAAAACGTTCGATAAGTTTCCCATATTTGAATGCCATTCTAGTAAGTCTGCATTTTTGAATTTTTAATAGGACAGCAGGATTTCTCCCAAGGATATCGATCAAATTAATTAATGGTAAAAGCACAGTGGCTTTGAAATATGAAATTGTAGACTAATTTGTATGTGGTATAACAGGGCGTATGATGAACATTAAATATTTATATTAAACTTTTTTGAGAAATACTTTTCCTACTTTAAAAAAAATAAACAAAATTAAGTGTTTTAGTGTTTGCGTTGTCCTCTCGGGTTGATTAAGTAATATATGTGGCAGTATTAGTTAAAAAATTAGAAAAATATCGTTTAAAATTTGTATCTTTTAGTATCCTTACATATATATATATATAGATTAATAGGATTTAAATTATACTAAGATTCTTCAAAACTCATACAAAATTAAAAATCTTGAAATCTTCCAAAAGGATAATTGAAAGCAAAGGTTATAATTAATTTTGTTTCGAATTCGTCTTTCAATTGATAGGCATATATCCATATGTGGTGTAAACTTTTTGAAATATATTCAAATTTGTGGTCCTTTGGAAAAAATTTCGACTACCGGGTAAACAACCAAAAACGCAGATTTACTTAATATTATGTCCTGATACTGTAGAGAGTATAGCAATACCATCTTGTACAGAAGAAAAATGAGTAAATTAACAAAACACGCGAGTTGCTTTAAGTTTATTCTGATAACTTTGACTGCAAGTCGGCAGGGGTTGCCGTAGTCCGAATTGCATACAATTTTATTCGGACAGTTTTGAAAACAAAATCAATAAAATGAGGAGATACGTAATTAAAAATAATAACTTTAAGTCTATTTTAATTTTATGAACTCGGGTGTCAGATTACATATGAGAGGAGTCTATGCAAAAATGATATCTCCACTTCCACTATTACTGATAAGACACTCCTCATATCATCACCATCAATGTAAAATATCTTTTTTGACATATGTTTGGTATTATGTGCTTTTAATATTTCTCTAATTTACTCGTAAGTACTTTCAGCTACACCTCCTCACCACAATGCAAACCGAAATCTTTCGAAATACGGTATTCATTGATATCATAAATGAAAGCTTTGTATACATTTCAAATCTGTCAAATTGGGCATTTTGCATTGGTGATGGTATCTATGTACATACCTACTACATAAAATTGTGTGTGTTTTGGGCTGTCAATTAAACTTTAAGCTATGTATGTAGTATGTATACTCGTCAAAAATTTGTATAT